GTAATTTGGTACAGTTAAATCTGTGTTACAGATATTGTACATTTCCAGCTAAAGGCAAAAGGTTTTTTACTCTGGAGAAATGTACATTATGCCAAAATGAACATGTTTGCCTTTGTTATGTTTGATGCATAAAATATCATTCAACATCTTTCATATTTTGTAACTTGGGCAATAAATCTTCATTTGAATCATGTAAATCATATAATAATTATAGTATACATTTCTAGTGGTATAAGTAGTGATAATGAGGAATTTTTTTTTTCATTAATGTACTATTAATGACATTATGTATATCAAGACTCAGTTGTTCAGTATTATACATAATTATATCAAGCATATTGTGCAATGTGTTAACTGCCAAATTAACTAATTGAATTATCTGTCTAGTTCTTTTACATTTCTTTACAGTGGTCATCCATAGAAAGGTAGTACACTTTTTAGAGATATAAGTATTATTATTATTATATATATATATATAGTGTTTCTTGCTGGAAGATACAGATGTTTTAGTCATTTTCTTATTAATTTTATATTTAAATATCCAGTGTAGATGATAATTTTAATTTATGTTTTTACATTATTTGTACTTAGGGTAATTGTGGTTAATGATATTTGTAGTTTTCTGATTAAATCATGTTGTGACTAGAGCATCAATATAGCAATACATTTCTAAGTATTGTATTTCTTCTACTGTTTAAATATTACATTAAATAAGAAAAAAGTTGATTTATTTCAAAAATATATTTTACAAAATAATATGCCAATTTCAGCCTCAGGTAAGATTTGTAAATCATTCTTATTAACCACTAGTAAACAGTTTATATTTGTATGTTCCCAAAATTCCCAATGGAAATTTACCACTCTGAAAATTCCCGGGAATTTTGCAACCGTAGTCTGGTGAGTTCATACTCACAACATCTTCCAGAAATTAGTAACTGTATAAGCAGGTGTGGATCTATGGTGGGTCCAGCGGGTGGACCTCTAAAAAAAGTTTCTCAGAAATTAATAACTATCATTTATTGTTGTTACTTGGTGTATTAGTATGTGTAGATCTTGGGATCAAAACCCTCCTCTATTTGTTTTGGAAATTCATGTTGTTCATTTGATTTAATTGAGTCACATTCTCAGGATATTCTTTCCTTGACATATTAATATTGTTAATTCCTCACAGTCTTAATTGTAATGGCCGAGGTTTTGACATCTGTAACAGTACTCTTGTGTTTGTATCCTTTGGGAGGAACTCTTATTCTCTACAAGCCTTTGTTTGTAGTTCCTGGTAGTATTTACTTTCAAGATACACTTGAAACATATATTGTCTTGTGGTTTATTAGTTCTTCTAGGCTATCATCAGCAGGAGTTGATGTTTAAATACTGCTTGATTTGACAATCTTGTAACTTCAAGATTGTGTCTTTAATTGTTTATCTGTGATTTTGGTGAATTCTAATTCCATCACTAAATGCAGAGCTTTTTTGACTTTGCTTTGTTCTAATTCCCATACCTTTGTCTGTTATGGCATCTATCAGTGAATCTATCATTTCCCCAAAAAGTGTCCTGGTATTAGAATTGGGCAGACCTTTCCAAATCTTCTGCAAGTTTGATTAGGATCTCTTCTTTCTTCTGTACCCTGTTCTGTTTTTTGCTCTGGATACTTCCTTTTGGTGTGTCACTCTAAAGCTGTTGAAAGGGTATAAATTATAGGGTAATGTTTAAGAGAGAACACCAGTTAAACTGTTACATTGGTTAAGTGAAGACTTTTTTTTTTTCTTAGAATTTAAAATGAATGGAGTGATATGCTTAATAATGATGTTGTACTTTTAGTTTGAATTATTTCAATATTTTGTTCTTTATGTATATGGGTGTGGAAGGCTATATTTGCTTCAAAAATTAAGTTGAATATTTTTAGTGTTAACTACTATTTTTTTTTTGAATGAGGGATGACCTAAATGAACTAAATGGCTATTAACTTATTTTTATTCTCTTACATCCTTATTCCTGTTAAGTTATTTAGTAATAAGAACAAATATTAGTATAAAATAACCTAACTTGGACAGTATTTCAATTTTTATTTTTCCAAAAGTTCCTCTTTAAAAACCTCCAAGTCTTAAATCTTAGTCAGTGTGATGCTGTTGGTGATGAAGGTTTAACAAATGTGAAAGTTTGTGATAGTTTGAAGATGCTGAATTTGAATGCTGAAAAGTGTCCCAGACATCGAGTTACTTCTAAAGGTAGGAAGAAATAGTGGTAAATTGACTTCATTTACTCAGTCTTTGACATCTTTAAATATTTTGTGTAAAAACATTCCATTTTCAGTTACAGTAAATCATATAATGTTTTTCATATTTAATTATAATATGATAGAGCACCTGTACTGAGTAAAAGTACTGGTTGTTTATCCCTAGACTTCATTTGTAATCATTAATGATGTCAGTGTAAAGATTCAGATTTATTATTGTGGTGCAATCATTTAATGAGATTTGGTAATAGATAAGTAAGTGATATGAAATTCGAGTTATTTTGAAATTCTAATCTTCACCATTTTCAAGACTAGGAAATATTCTCTTATCTCAACTTATCAATGGCAAGTTATAGTGTTATCACGACTTTCATCAAACTAGAAGGAAATATTTAAATGATTATATCTTGATAAATTGTGATCTAATGAAGTAGTTAATACATGTACCACCAGTTGTGTACAATATAACATTGTATCATCCATTTAGAAACTTTTTCCCAAATATATGTAGTAAACCTCCACTGAGCTTCTTAAGGTATGGATTTTATTATTCAAAAGTGAAGTAGATTAATTCATGTACTTTAGCAGGTTTTCAAATTATACCTAAATTGGTGTCTAACTTATTTGAAACTATACTTAATGCTTTTTATGGTTTATGGTATTATTTAGCATATATGTACGTGTGTATGTAGATAGTACAGCCCTATAAAAATAACCTGACTAAGGAGATCTCAGAATCAAGGAAATCAAATCAAAAGAGACAGTAGAGGAAGAAATAGAAGCTAAAAGAGCAAACAAAAGAGGAATAGGTATATCCACCAAAACCATTGGAGTTGTGATGAAGAACCATAATGAAGAGGTGAAGGGCAGAGATAAAATTAAGGTGTAGGGTAAAGACAGATGAAGATGAGCAGATAGCTGGAAAGAAAAAGACAAAAGAATGAAAAAGATGAGCATGCCAACCAGACAAAGGACACAAAAGATTGGTGTTCAAGTTATGCCTTATCTGACATGCTGGCAGGTGGAAACGTATTCTGCCTCTCAAATAATACCTCTGCTCCTCATTATTAGGAGTTGTAAGGCAGAGTTTGTAGTTAACCTAAATAGATCAATGTCCCCTGCAGGACAGGATAAGTCTACAAACTTACAATTCTAAAATCCAACATATTGTTTTTCTTACACTAAACTGTTGGAAGACTCCCAGGATCACCAACTTCTTTGATGATGAGCTGGAACCATTGTTAGCATGCACATTGGTTTGATTGTTGGTTTCTACACTCATCCCTGTTGTTGTGGGGATCTTGAATTTCCTTGACTCCTATGGGGTCATAGTTCTGCCCCTATTTGAGGGTCCCTACCCCCAAAATCAGCCCCCATATCATTGGTACCCAGAATAGATTCTGTCCATATCCTAGGGTTCCACTGCTCAGTTGGACTGCCACCAGTGGCATTGGTGATTATTGTATGCCTTTGGGGTCTGTGGGGCTCAGCTCCTAGAATTTTTGGACGTGTGATAATCTTAACCATGGATCCATGAGCATATAAACCCTTGAGTCAGAGTTTCTCTGCTGCCACCTTGTCTAGAGTTCCATCTGTTCATGAATGCCTCACTTCTGGGATGGGGTGCTTATACACAGTGTCAGGAATTTCAGAGTCTGAACACAGACGATGAGGCTTCTTGCTCTTCAAAAGACAATGCCTCATAATCTGGGCACAATAAGGGGAAAATTGTCAGGCTTCACTCTGACAATTTTGTGGTGGTGTCTTGCATTTTTTCATCCAGAAGGCACTTGGTTTAGGGCTCCTTGTTTTCGAATCTTGAACCTCCTTTCTTGGGACCACTCCTCTCATATTACTCTACCAGCTTGCCATCTTTCACAGGTGATGACTGTGGTAGCAGATCAATTGTCTCAACCACAACAGAATAGGTGTTGCAGTGCTAGATTCTGTTGGATTGGCTCTCATGGTGCAACTCTAATTGATGGGTTGGCCACTCATTGGAACACCCAACTACTGCCAATTTGGTCTCCAGTACCTCACCTTCAGGCTTTGGCAATCGATGCATTCTGTCAGGATGGGATGGGATTACAACTGTAGGCCTTCCCTCCAATTCATATGTTACTCAAGTTACTAACTATGATTTGTTCCAACCCATTGTTGGGTCCTGTTGATAGCACTGGATTGGCAGCTACACCCTGGTTTCTGCTTCTGCAGTACCTTCAGGAGTGTCCACCATTTCCACTTCTGTTTAGGCCATCTTTGTGGAGGCAGTCATGATCTGACATGGTACACTTGGCTATCCAGAAGCTCAAGCTTCAGGCATAGAGGTTGTGCAATCTTTTGCATGGCATCTGGGTTTCATTTTAAAGGTTGCCATGTGTCTGTCTCAGTCTTTGCTTAGTCCCGCAATAGACATTTTTGAACAGAAATGGCACATATATTGGCAATGGTGTATTGAGAGGAGGTTAAAATCACTTCAATTAGAAGTATCAACCATAACTTTTTTTTTTACCTGACTCTTTGGCAAGGGGTTTTGCATCTTCCACACTCACACTGTATAAGGCGGCCTTATCAACTACCATTTGATACTCACAACAAAGTATTTTTGAAGTCCCCAGCACTCTCTAAATTCCTCAAATCACTTTGGGTCCTTTGTCCCAAATGACCATTCCAATCACCTGACTGGTATATTAAGGTTACCTTACATGCCCTTTCTCAACACCTGTTTGTGACCTTATTCTCATATGCCATATATCATCTTTATCTGAAGGTTTATTTTTCATTGCTGCTGACCTACAGACATCACCAGTTGGAGATGTTTGCGCTGTTTGTCCACTGAATGTTTTATTTTACCTACATCCTCAGACTAGTTCTTTTTACCCAAGACACTGTGAGACAAAGAAGGGGATAAATCCTTTTCACTGATTCATCTGATCACTATTTCTCACTTCTGTGACCGATCAGAATTCGATCATTGTAATGTTCAGTGAGGGTTTTGTTGCCCACACAAATGCCTTTATAGATGCTAGGCAACGACTTTTTATTCTGGGCTCTTTGAATGCAAGTCACGACTAATCAGATTCGTCACATTTTCTATGTCTTTAGCAGCTTGGTTGAATTGTCTGCTGGAGGACATTGTGCAGACTGGTATGTGAACCAGCCCTCAATACTTTTATCTCACATTATTTGCATGATCTGGCAGTATCTTCATCTGAGAGTTTTCACCTACCCCCTGTAGCTATTTTAATCACTTCTGCTAGATTATACAGAGGGGTAAGTATTTTCATTGCTACTTTTCAGGGTCCTGTACCTCGTTTTCTCAGTACCCCACTAATGGCAAGTGTTGCCCAGACAGGTGTGCTTTCATCAAACCAATTCTGCACTAGCAACCACTAATTCAATATATTTTATCTAGGTTTCAATAGGCTCTGTAGAAATGAGGTGTTCTATAAGACCATCTAGAGGTTAACTGGGTGGTATTGCTGTACTATGCTCGAACACCACTCATGGACTATCATGACTAAGGCATAAGGGGATCCTGCCTGTCCCTGCCAATCATAGGATTAAATAAATCGAGGTCAGTTTGCTTTTAAAAATTTAGCGTACTTGGTTCACCTATTGCATTGTTTCCAGAGAAATGTTTCTCTGGGCTCCCCAATGGACATTACCCCCAGATTTTACTAGTGGAGCTAGGGAGTCCTTAACGCACCCTGTTTCCAGTCACTGGGGTGCTGGACAGAGGATTTTCCTCCAGAGTGTTGTAGTGAATTCTTCCACTCTTGGAGAAAAGGGTGAAGTTGTGGGCTCTCCTATCCGGGCTCCTGGGTGTTTTTTCCCCAGATTTTGGTAGGAGAGGCACCAAAATGTGCAAGTGCCTTCTCATAATACCAGTTCAGATTTGATGCTCAGCTATCCGGATGGGTTGAGCATAGCTTTATTTTGATCAATATTGGTTTAGTACATTGTTCATGGAAGAGGGTCCATTTTCTCCTCATAATTCTGGAGGCAAGTGGACTTTACCTTGCCCATACAGTTGGGGAGAGAGGATGAGTGCTCATAATTCCAGACCAGATGAGTTCTGTTTCCTCAGGTTGAGTATGGCATACAAGATCCCATCATTCAGAGCCTGGGGTGTTGTCTTTCAGTGATTGAAATAGGCCAAAACAGTGGAATTTTCAGAATGGAGCATGATGTGTTGATTCTGTACCAGTAGAAGAAATTGAACCAAAGCACATCATACTGCCATAAGATCCAAGATGTTGAAATGGTAATGCATTATGATCTGAGACCAAAAGCCTCTTGCTGAGTGACCAATACTCCCTACCTTGGAGAAAAGCATCTGTGATTTGATGCAAGTCTGGATGAGGTGGAGGAAGCAGTACTCATTTCATTGTACTGTCCTTGTAAAACCACCAATGCAGATAGCATGTAAGGGAAGAGTAACTGGGAGGCCAAGGGATCCTGAGGAAGATTCTGTGGGCCATGCAGAGACCCCTAAAGAGAACACATATGTACCCAACCCAAAGGAATAATGTCTTCCATAGAAGCCCAAGTCCTCAAAAGCAAAAAACCTTTTCTGCAGAAACTGAGGATGCAGTAAATCTATGGAGAATTGAAAGCACTACTGAATGAAGAAGTGGAGAAAGATGGGGCCGGATGAGAGGGGTGTTGAAAAATACACCCAAGTTGATAAAATAGTGTTTAGGCAAAAGAAAACTTCACCAACTTGAGAATCCAACCAAAACAGTTACTGTCAGTAGCAGATGTGTGTGTTGAGAAGACTCCAGTTCCGAAGGAGCTAACAGAAGCCAGAATCCATATAGTGGTGTAAACACAACTTTAGAGCATGCAGAAGTAGGGTAAAAGCTGTGACCACCCAATAAAATGAATACAATGCTGAAGCAAGCCCAAAAGACCAGGCACAAAACTGATATACAACCCCGTTGTGAACAAACTGAAGATAGCATTGGGACTGTTGAGAAATAGAAATAG